AATGATACATTGAGCTTCCGATACATCGCGTGATATTCAGATAAATAAAGGCTATTCAAGCGGTAACTGGGACTACCACCTACAGCATTGTCCGCGTATCATTTGCATTCGTACGTTCGTCTGATACCAACACTCGAGTGTATGTACTTCGGAGTTTGTATGTCATTTTATACTTCGTATAATCCAATTTGACTACTGCAAACTGTCAGCGACTTTGTTTAAAATCTCGATTGTGCGCTGTCGCGCTTGTTGTTCCGACATCACGTGACAGGATTCGGTGATATGTTATTTTGTCTTATGACCACGACGTGATTTCAACTGACGGGATTTTTCATTCCTCGTAATTATTAGACTGACTGCATCATATTTCGCGTTAATTTGTACCGTGTATGGTATAATTTGTTATGATCGATTGTTTTTTTTAATTTAATATGGACCGTATTACAAATTGAATAACGTTAATAGTAATATTATGTTAAGAGTAAATTGCAAAGATGTGATCTGATGAGCGGCCATACCGTCAAATAACATGTCTAGTGCATACAATGCTAGAGAGATACCTAACGAGTGAACCCGTATCTGAATAATCCAAAACGTTGATTGTGTGAGGTTGTCTCAATAGTCGTAGTTCGGTCTTATCGGTCAAGGTAGAGATACTAGTAGTTGTATATAATACCACGTAGAGATAAACAATAACATGGGTCAGTATTAAAGAACAATAGCAATAACACACAATGTGTTCACCCAGCGTGAAACAAACGACGGTATCAACTAACTGTTGCTTGAGCTATTGAACCCGATATTTGCCGAGTGACACCAAATCGTAGCCGCGTTATTTCAGGCGAAGACTAGGACAATTAGTGAAGTTTTTTTTTATTCATTGAAATCTAATTCAAAATAACTAATACACGCCAGCTCGAGTAATCAAGTCACAATCGATCGATATAAAAATCAAAATCTCAAGCTGATCCTAACGATTACTGCCATATTCTATGATTCAAATATAAATGGAATCGTTCTGTCTTCGAGATAACAATTGCATTGCGCGATGGGTAAACTGGGTATTGTGTATCTAATTTTCAATCAAATCACATTTTCATGAAAAGCTATTTTCATATTATTCACAAGTCACGTGACTTGGTCAGTTAAAAGAAAGACTGATTGTTTCAGTAGACAAGGTCTTTCGATAGTGTTGTCATGGTTACATGGGCAAACACGCGCCAATAAACAAATTACTACGTACATTTACACTTTTTACAGCAATAATTTACCACAAAATAAGTATGCAAACATTGCGGTCGTTTAAATGTACGGCTTATCTATAAAAAGAACCCATTTTTTCAAGTTATGGTGTTGGATGAATATATACGCGACTAGAGAAGAATGTGAAAACGCCGAAAGACAACAACAACAACAACAACAACATCAACAAATCTACCCAATGCATGGGCCTGAGTGACTTATATTGATTGAATGTACATTAGTTTGCAAATGAAGTAAAAAAAGCAATTGAAGAAAAAGGTACCTAACGAGTCGTAAAATAAGATTTCTTGGGCCAATTTATTTTAAAATAAATCAATGTGAAATAATAATTAGTTTGTGCATTTTTTGTCCTGGGTGCTTTATTGGACATGAAAGCAGACGCAAGTTATGAGAATACTTTGTGAAGTAACTTTTCAGTAAAAATTCAATGACGAGTACGGTTAATGTCGGTTTAAAGGACAGTGGTCGTCGCGCTACTCATGTGCGAGATCTGGGACTCATTATAACAAGGACTTTGGCTGTTTTGCAGACCAACGAGCGCAAACTAAGACGTTACCAAACTTTAACTATGTAATTTCCTTTGTGATTTAAAGGTATCGAAAGAGTCACCGGCGGTAATTAGTGCAGTTTGCGCCCAGATCAAAACTCGTGCCCGTGATTTCCATTGGAAGAGCGCATTAGGATTATGGGGAAATAAACACAAGTGTCGTACATGCGCTGTACGACGACCACCGTCCTTTAACATGCCTGATACTGCCTCGGTACCACCAGTTACCGCCATACTGATGAGTACAGTTAAAGCGCGGTGGTCGTCGCACCGCGTCCTGTGCGATAGGGGACTCATAGCGACGTATACAACGCGTGTAAAATACTTTGTTTATTTACATGAATTTCGAACACGCGCTGCGCGACGACCACCGCGCTTTAACGTGTCTGATACTATCACGATGATGCATGCTGTATTTTCTTAACGAAGCATTATTCTATAAAAGAGAATAAAGGCATGTTGATAATGAAGTTATAACCCATAACTATTCACCCAAAGTTTAAATATGTGTTTGAAAGCAAAAAAAAAAGTCAAAGGACGGTAAATCATGATGGGCTGATAAAAACAAACAAAAAGATTTACGTTTACGACCACTTTTCCACCATTGGAGGTGTCACGTGACTTAATTTATTACATCACCTTGTCACCTCTCAATTAATTTGTAAACTGAAGTACGGTTGTCTGAAAATCAGTATAATTAAAATATTTCCAGTCGCCTTCGTGATTTCACCCTGCCCCACCCAAATATACAGCCGTAAACACTGGCGTTTGAAAACGAACACGTGTCTTCTCACCGGCAAACATATGTTCATATTATTGATTCACGTAAGTATATATCAATCAGTGTCTTGTAGAACTATCAATCGAAATGAATAATCGAGTCGGGTTTACTTGGAATAATGCAGTGAGTACCGATGACCTCTAGAAATTGTTAATGATAACAAGATTCCCACAGACAATGCACTAGGTGAACATTTCGACTCAGCGTCCTGTCGTATATGACTGGGTTAAATCTCTTCTACCTTACCACGTTAACGACCGTATCAGCTCCCCTATAGGTACACTAGTTATACTCTCCGCCTACCACGCTACGCGTCACTCCCAGCCAACACTATTGTTGACATTGTCCATGCCATAGTTACAAAGAAAACAGAAGGATAAAGTCGATTTGTAGACGACATTTGTACACATTAGTGCATATTCCATAATTGAAGTGTACGTGAATTTAGCCGAATACATGCTTCAAAACTTCCTACGACTGACAGGAATCATAAAAGATATACTTGGCTCATTTGTCAATGATCTACACCTTGTTGTGGTTATAACGACCGCCTTGGTAGAATAAAAATTTTAGCGATCACTAAGTACTAAACTACACACTTAATAGTCGCCGTGTAAGTCTAACAAACCAAACTCTCTTATACATTGGAATTGTGGTTTTAGCGGGTTTATATTGATGTCGTAAAAGCCAAGTGGCCGCTTAAGTGTTATGGTCGGACGTTTTATTTGATCTCGCTTTGGGTTCAAAATGAGTGATGAATACAGCAAACATACTGGCTGTTTCAGGGGCGAAGTCGAAGCTATTGATACACACGAACATTACACTATTGTGTTATGAGACACACATACTTCACACCCAGTGTGTAATACACGGGATTGTCGAAGAACAATGCAATAAGTTGATAATAACTACAATACCCAGACGCCATAATAAGAAAATATCAATGTCAATGGAGTAATTTATTCATTGAACCGCGTTTATCAGTTTATCTTAAAAAATATATTCTATTCGAGAGCAACAATAATGACGTTCATGGTGGAACTTGCCAACGTACCCAATAATCTCTCTATATCTCACAAGATGATCAACATTAAAACACAATCATCGCTACAAAACGTAGTTCGGAGATAAAAATCACGAAGTAAACAACAGCCAACAACATTAATCACTGTCACAAACTAATACAATTCATTCCCAAGCTTGATTTATGATTAAAAATATAAAGATACTCGTTTATAATCTTTGGTATTCTGTTTGAAATGTAATATATTATTGTCAGTTCATGTGCATATGTGACTACACTTCCCAAGTACAATTTAAAGAACAGTTGAAATGGATATCTCGATCCGAAGAATCCCACCCCTTCAATAAATTAAGCTGTATCTGCTATGCGGTACCCATGGCTCATCTCACTTACTAATTATGGATTGATTATCTCCAGGCATGAACAAAACAAAATAGTCACAGTGTCATTGTGTTTCAGTTCTTTTGGTGTCATCATTTTTTCGGCCATTATAACAAGAATGTAATCTCTGTAAGAAGTGAGATATTGATGTCATTTTTAAAACTGTCTTTCAGTCATTAATTCGGAATGCAGTCATACACCCACAAAACGTGTAAATAGGCAATCAAAACATCACTAATTATGTCAATTCTTCTCTGACACGGATATAGGAGGAATAACTTGCTGTCCTGGAAAGGTCGGTCCTCTCGATCTTCGATTTCCTTTTGACAGCGTTTCCTCGGTGTCTTCTGAGATAATAGCCAATGTTCCCCCATATTTGGCACCTTTCTCTGCGTCTGCTTTCTTTTTGTTCTGTTTCGTTTTTTTCGATTTCTTGTTATTATCGTCTTTCTCATCCTTCCCGCGCTTTAGTTGTTTGCGGGATGCCAATCTTTGCATCCGTGCCTGTTGCTTGTCTCGGCCGAACAGAATGGCCAGCGTGGACACTTTCTTGTTCTTTCGCAATGCCTGGGGTGGTGTTTTAGGTTTTACGATTTTGGCAACTTTTCGGAAGCCCCCAGTGTGTTGCTCGGAATATACCGTCATCAAGTTATTGATCATAATCATCTGGTTAGCAGGCTGATATCCCTGGTACTGCGATGCTTTGGTTTTGTCGAATTGACTACTCACAAAATGATCCACGTGGTGAAGCGGCATGGTTTGCCGTGACGCAATTTCCAGCAAAGATATTGCGGAATCGACAGACTTGTTCATAATACTCTTGTCTGTAAGCATCGGTAGTTTAGTCATTGACATACTGCCCCTACGGACCGTGTAAGGCTGGCGGCTTTGATACGAATACATAGATCGACTAGACGTAATTACTGTGCCGTTCGTAGACGACGAGGTATCCTGTGTCATCAGAGTCTGGTCATCTCGAAACGTTGAGAGGGACGGACATGACTTCATACCATCAGATCTAAAATTTGTTTCTTCTTCGCCTGAACCTGGCCAACTTTTGGAAATATTAGGTTTTGAACTTTTTGTTTTTCTTTTTCGTCGCGTGCTTCCCGTTTTAGTCGTTCCTTTGTATGTTCTTCCCATTCGTAGGCGTTAAAGCGGCTAATATTATCGGCGATGTGGGCATTGGCTCGCCCGTCCCGCAATAGTATGTCACTGATTTCTGATAGACCCAATTTCTTGGCGTGTATCAGAGGTGTACAGCCGTCATTGTCCACCAAGTCCACAGTCATGTGGTAAAAACGTAGCATCTCTACCAACATTTTCACAATCTCAATGTTTTTCGACTTGACTGCGTACAGTAACGCCGTGTTGCCGTCCAAGTCACGGCCGTTTAAATTAACACTACCTGCCCCTACCTGATCTAGTATCCGTGTCGCTTGTTTCACCCTTCCAAGTTCACATGTGTACTGGAAAAGCGTTTTCTGTCGGTAATCTTCCTCCAAGACCTCGGCACCCCTCCTCACTAGGTACCGGAACATTTTATCTCGTTTCCCTTCATCGTCGATTTGCAGCGTGACGAACAGCGGTGTCTGCCCCAGTATATTCTTACAGTCCACGTTAACGTGAAGATCTAACAGCAATTTGACTTCAGCAAAGCGAGTCCCAGTCACAGCATCGAACAGCCGTCCAGCCATGGTAAACGATTGCACCACGTAAACTACAAGTAGAAAATGTTGTAACCGTATCCACGCACACTACCGTTATTTCAGCACATAGCGTATGTCACATACCACTTGACGTACTTGCCTCAACCACGACAACTGGTGACACGGTCACTTAGGTTCGCCGATTTTATGCGCAGCAATCGGCGCAAATGCTATGTTTGGTCGCATGAATTGTGACTAGCTGACAATAGGCCAATGCTCGGACTCTGAATGAATCGCCTCGTATTGTAATCACCGTATTATGCGTCTCCTTCTATTTCCCATACAAAGCAAACTAGTCTACCCACTCGTCGCATGTATAATGGACGGTTGTCATGGTGATCAAATAAAAAAAAATGTAATTTGACTGCCATTTTTTGCGTTGCATTCTGGGGCGATGTGAAACCGACATATTATGCAGAAATACAAACGGAATACCTGCCGTTGAAACGCACACGTAAAGGTGGAAAAAAAAAAAAAAAAAAAACGATTAAATAGGGTACTTCTCCAGAATCGTTTAAATTGTTCACGCTCGGTTGCTGCCAAAATAGGTAAACATTACTTCCATCTTATAAATCCATTAATTAAATTCATGTCAACAAAAAACTCACACGTCTGTGAACGGACATGTTGATCACGCTACGCTCCCCTCCCCGTGAGTACAATAAACGACGCATGGCGGTGAAATAAACACAAACCATATTTTTTACCACGAGATGACTGTTGTTTATGAATAATTCGTCTCTTAAAAATAGTCAGTGTCAACGACCTCGTGTAGTTTCAGGTGATAGTTCACTTCCGACACAAAAAAACATCGTATAATTAAATGAGACATATCCGCCACGGAATGCTCTTACATAACTGTGAACAATGGCACACCCCGCTAATAGCGTTATGAATGTTTCGGTTAACTATATTTATCTAATAGTTTTGCTGATTTTCATGACGTTGATTCCAGTGTACAATTGTATTTTCAGCGTAATTTAATGTTTATTTCCAATTGATTGGATTTCAAGATTGGTGTTAAGGGAACGCGTGGAATACAATTGGAGTCATTGTACACACGTATAAGCATGACGTGAAAAGACCCAGACAGGCAAGGGGTTGGGGAGTATAAAATACAAATGAACGTTTACCGAAATGAAAACATCAGTTTATATGTGTATTCAATCTGCAATCGCCCTGTTCACACAAAGTAACTCTCGATATTCATTTCATACGCAGGACGGAAGTTGAATGGTCTTTTTGAAAACGAACATTACAGTACAGCAGGGTACATTGTGTGACCATATACACTATTATGATCAGTGCTCTCAGTTATAAATTCTATTCAATTTTATTCAATTTTATTTACGTGGATGTTTGTTGTAATGATGCTGTCTGAAATGTCACTCATCCGGCATGTACACATCTACTACTTTAGTTAAAGTACGTCAATAACGTATCGTCATTTCAGTTGGAGAGGACGTGCATGTCCACTAACACTGTCCTGTCCACTAACCCTGTCCTGACCACTAACACTGTCCTGTCCACTAACACTGTCCTTGTCCTGTCTCCACGGCTCTGTCGCCGCATATATCTAGAATCAACACTGATTATATTTATATAACTGATGCCTATGCGATAAATTATATTTGCACATAACCATACAGCTATGTCAAATCCAGGTCACGATCATCACTGTGGGTAACGTTATCTTCGTGAGGAGGCACACTGCGTGTAAAATTATGCGTTACAACATGTCTAAATGCTCTGATTAACGCCTATACATGGATCTCTGTTTGGGTGGGGATAAAACAAATACAGTATTCGGTGAATAACGTATACGTCATAGGAATGTTCAACGTCTCAATGTACACGGATGTTGCATATGTACGTAGTTCCGTATCTCTTGTTGATATTTCACGTTAACACATGTCACAAATTGGCCATGTTTACCAAATTACTCACATACACTAAATGTTAGTTCTTGTTTAACAACACAACCACGCTGAATACGTTATCCATTTAGTTTTAGCGTCACAATAGGGATATAAGATATCAAACGAAATGTCATACTTTATATGTTAGTACTAGTTTTCTTGCAAACTTCGAACCAACCAACTTATTTTGTTTAACAATTTAAATATTTGCAAACATGCCATGGAAAATAATTGTTTAAAAAAATGCATCAACATTTTTATGGCGCCATCGGGGTTTTCCACACTTGGTTGAGTTGTTCCTCTGAACCAGTTCACGCGAATTGAACCGTAATGAATTTAATGAATCCACCTTCGATCGTACGTCTATCCAACCATTTTTTAATTATGTATTAGAAAAGGAAAAAATACTGGTGCGAAATGTTAACCCGGTTTATTTGATCATTCGTGCCACTGAACAACCATGCTGGTTTTAATATCGACATTTTCTTGTGTAAACAAAGTGATCAAATGAAAAACCCATTTCTATAGAAACCATTTCATTACGACAGACGAATTCAACATATTGGTTATTTTAATTCGTCTCCCAACACAGTATGCGAGTTCTATTTGAAAGGTTTGGACTGTAGTACATAGTTATAGTGATATACAAGGGTTTTGTTACTAATACAGCTAATAAGAAAATTGTGAAGCCATCAACGTACTGTAAAAACAATTCCCGCACCCAATTAGACACACTAAGACATGTTACAACCTACGTGACAACAGGAATTTAGTCAGCTGCACAAATAAAGCTAGTTTAAAAGAGAGCGCTTATTTTCACAGCAAACATACCAATTCAATTACTGCTACTTGTAATTGTTTTTTTTTTAAATAAATATAACCAATCCACTGTCTGCTTTGTAGATAAAATTTAATTTACCAGCGAATACAGATGGTTACATTTACGTCAAGTTGCTTGCATGTGTATACGTTATCCTTTGATAAATTTCAATAATATTCAACATTAGTATGAACTTTGACATCATATATTACATCATAATTCTCCTCATTCATTTTACACACTTTCTATAAGTTCTCTATGGGTTTGTTCAGTTGATACAGATAACTTTGCTTAGTTACGACCATTTTGAGAGGAATCGTTTATTTTCCCCACCCCTCACCCCTCCCCACTTGAATAGGCTAACTTTCATTTATATGTTACTATATTTGCTTAATATTCGATGTAGTAAGTGAACAATTACATTAATAGCATTTAATAATGAAATACGGGATATGTAGTAGTATTTCATAACTTCAAAACATTTGTTTGTTCATTTGTTTCACCATTTACTCCAGTTATTGCAGACATATTATATTGAGAAATATGTTTTAAATAAAACCTGTTCCGAGACGTTTACCAAATTATTCACAAGATCAGAATCAGTATAATTCTGGTATGGCTCTTTGAAAAACACACAGTTACGGTTTAAAAAATAAAATCAAATAAAATATGTAACGTTTTCGTCATCATGATGGGAAAATTTTACTTCCTGTTGATGGATGCTAATATCTACAAACCTGTTTTGCTAGCCAGTTAATTCTAAGAATATTAACCAAAACTGTCTTCACTGTCAAAACAGTGATAGTGACATATTATAACCGTAAAATAAAATTACCCTACGTAATTATTTGTCGTTGTCTGTGAGTTAATTATTTGTACTAAATTATCATAACTGTAATATACAATGGTTAGCAGAAGCAGAATTTTGTCATTTCAAAAGTGAAACATTGCATACCATTACTGAATGACACATTCCTGAAGGACGCACTTACGTAAGGTTGTCATGGTGAACGTGGTAATACCCGGGGGTAATACATAGAAGACTCAAAACATGACGAAACAACAAACGTATCTAAAACTTTTGATTTGTCGTTTGTCAATATAACAATGCAGCTTAATACTGACCGAGGCTTAGGCGAGGACAATGCACTAAATGTATGTTTCTATCAGACTTTGTAAACCATAGATCAACGTGGCATCGCTCTTGCTTAATTGGTTGCAGTAATTAACAAGAAACAGAACTATCAATAGATAGGGACGTTATTTTGGTCTGCTGGCAAATTGTTGTCTCGCCGCAATGTACAACTTGCTTCCTACTTGCTTTGATACGGAAACATGTGATTAAACTAAAGTGTTTTAGTCGAGACCAAATCTAATTTCTAATCTAATTTTTATTTCGAGCAAACAATCTAAATTAAATACATGATATGTTTCAATGACAATAGCTTGTAAATCTGTTATATCTTGATGGGTTAGATGTGGATATGGCATCCATTCCCAGACAGCATTGCGTACTCCATAATTCAACCTTCAGTAAACAATCGTTATTAGGATTACCTTGAACACGCATACAACATGTGACAAACACAACTTCTTGCACTTACATGTCAAATGAGTTCCTTGTACCTGAGTCAATGGCTGACATGTTGATGTTGATATTGTTGTTAAGAGTGATGGATATGCTAATTAACTCGGCTTTCAACTTCTAACAGCATTTCAAGACAATAGCATAAGAAAGGGAGGGTTGATGACTTATGCTAAGTACGCTAATTTTCGTTCGGACTGATCTCCGTGATACCATGACACGAAACTCGGAAATCCCTCAAATTACTGACATATAAACTGTCGTGCTCGAGATCCTACGAATTAACAACATTTTCCTCTCCTTCTAACTCCGTTGTTGCGACATTAAACATAACTTGAATTAAATATATTCCAAAATAAAAGTTTTAGACTCGTTTATTTGAAAATATTGATTTGTGTTAAGTTCATTTAAAATTGAAGAGATTATCTAGAACCCCCAAAAAATGTTTAGCCATATAATTAAAAAAATCGTCGTACTGTGTGATACCAATTTGGTGGTTCAGTGTTAATCGTAAATCACTAAAACAGCCAAATAATGAAGGGCTGATTAAACAGCCATGTTTTAGTCATCTATTTTGGAGCGAATTTGTATTAAAATGACACAAGTATTGGAGTAATATTTAAGAAGTGAATAATTTATCACCTAACAAACAATGATATGAAGC